AATACGAGTAACATACAGTGACAAAATAAATTTTATTATGAATTTTTGTCACAAATATTTCCCTCCAATTTTTTGGCGTCAAATTAAAAGCATATAGTGACAAATGTTGTAACTATAACAGAAAAAATTGTCACAACAAATAATGAGATTTAGATTTGTTGTGATAAATTTTGTTTGTAATTATATATTTTAATTATAGTGACAAAATGTATAGTCACAAATGATTATCTCTAATTTTTGGTACAAAAACAAAATCATATAGTGACATGATTTGTAGCTATAAGCTATAATTATTCTTACAAAAAAGTTGTCAGAACAACAAATAATGAGATTCAAGTTTTTAGTAAAAAACAATGTTTGTCGTTATATGTTTTAATTATAGTGACAACATATATTGTTACAAAAATTTCCCTCCATATTTTTTTACGTCAAAAAAGTCATATAGTGACAAATTTGTAACTATAAGTGTTATTATAGAAAAATATTGTCACAAAATATTGATATTACGTTTTTGTGAAAAATATAGCTATAAATTTTAACTATAACGATAACATATATTGTCATAATTATTTTTCTCCACTTTTTTGTTTCAAAAGTTATATGGACAATTTTTATAATTATAATTTATAGTTTTTGTTATAGAAAAAATTATCACATCAAATAATAAAATTCAGGTTTTTTGTAATCAATAATTTTTTACTTATATATTTTAATCATTATGAAAAAAAATATACTATCATAACCATTTATCACTATTGAACACGTTATAATATTCTTTCATAATAACAAATTGTAAAAAATGAATAAAAATATTCATTATAATTTCAAACTGTGAAACCCTGTAATTTGAGAAATTTTAACTTAAATTCCTAATTTGAAATCAGTGACTAAATTGCCAAATTAGAAAGTTAGGTCCCATTTTTGTAAAATCCTAGAAAGTTTAATGACTTACGATACAATTATACCAATTTTATTTGAAAACAAACTTCCTCTACCCCGATAAAACTCTGCTGAGTGCCCCCTTTTATTTTAAAACCCTAGCAGCTACTCCCATTCTCCCTTCAAGCTGCCCCGCTCTCTTTTCCGTCGCTGGTTGTTCGTAGGTAAGCCACCGACCACTATTTGAACCTATCATTTCAAACCTCGTTCTATTTTCGTTGTCGTTACACCACGTTGGGTCGTGGTTCTTGGTTCATTTTTACCGCCACTAGCGACGTCGTGGTCGTTCGTGGGTGTCGAATTGTTCGGTCAGCCTCACCCTCGTCAGATGAGGCCCCTACGCATTTGGTTATCTTCTGTCCGGTACTTGGAAGGTTGAGGTCGGCCTCTGCAGCACATATGTCTCACTCTTGTTTATGTCACCGGCCGTTATAGGTCACAACAAGTACAACCATGATACCACCGACCCTTGAGGGTTGCTATCGGTGTAACCCGTCACCGACAATTTGTTTTTTTCATACTGGCAATATCTGTATTCGAACAAAACTCCACTGCCTATTGTCGGATCAAAAGCGATTCAAGTTCCTTGAAAACAACGTCGAGCTTTACGCCGAGAAGGTCAATAATCGAGGCCTTTGTGCCATGCTAAGGCTGAATCTCTTAAATTATAAGCTCCTCATAGGTCTCGTTGTCCATAGGTATATGCTCAATATTGATTCTTCTTTTAAAGATTTCATGTGTGTTTATGCAGTACTCATTTTTTATATTTTGTTTAATGTATAAAATGAATTTTAATAAGTAGGATTACTTATATAATGTCATATACAAAGCAGATTGGCATCTTACTTCCAACTTTTTGTGTCGGAAGGTGACTAAAGTAATTAGATGATATTTCCTCTGTTTATTTCATGCCAGCTGAAATGCATTTTATTTCCATGCAGTAACCTTAGTAGAGGGAACAATATTAAATTTTTTTATTTTTAATTTGCCTTTCAGTTATGGATTTTATTTTGTATGTGTGCATGATATGTTTAAAAGAAGTTTTGCAGTAACCTTAGTAAAGGGAACAATATTAAAATTTTCTTATTTTAGTAAATGGTCTGATCTTGTTTTGTTTATTAAATATTTCAACCTTTTGATTTATTTCACTTATATTTGCAGGGAAAAATGAGAACAATCTTAGTTGAAGAAACTGAAAAAGGCATTGAAGTGAACGGACGTCAAATTTTAGAAAACGTTTTAAATTCAAAATATGGTTACATTCGTGGACTTAGTTAAGGAGTAAAGCCAAGTAGTTCCGAAGTAATATTCTTTCACAATAACAAATATTAATTTATCATCATAAAAAATTGTGACAAGTAATATTCTTTCACAACAATAAATTGTAACAAAATTATTTAGTCACAGTAAAAAGTTATAAAAAAATTTAGTTACGAAATAAAAATAGTGAGAAAATAAATTTTGTTGTAATATGTCTTTTTGTCACTAAAACATTTTTTGTTTGATTTATAATTTAACTTAATTGTGATGAAATTTACTTTTTGTGATAAAATAATTATTTTTATTTAACAAATGTTTTATTTCTGTAAGTTACATTTAGCGACGAAATAGCAACTGCGATAAAATAATTTTTGTTGCCTTATGTATTTTCGTCACAACAACCCTTTATATTTGATTTTTAAATATAAGTTAGTTATGACAAAATGTACTTCTCGTGACGAAATAGTTGATTGATTGTTACAAATAATTTATTGTGATAAGTTAATTATAGTAACGAAATTTCATTGTTACTATAAATATTATACAATGGTAACGAACACAATTTTGTCACAATATACTTTACATGACAAGGTTGTTCTAACAAAAATGGTAACAAATAAAATTGGTCAGAATAAATATATCGTGACAAATTTAGTACTTTTAGTGATAAATAATTTTGTTGAAACAATCGAAATTTCTTGTAGTGAATTGGTTAGATAGAATTCGAGCAGTTTAGAAGGGGGTTCGTTCCTGCTCATCAAGTTCGTTAAAATGGAGGGGGAATTGGTTTTCACTAATAACTTAATAATTGTTTTAGAATTTGTGAGTTGTTCTTCAAAGTTGCAGGTTAACAGTATGGATTTTAGAATTTCTTGTAATTTTCTTGAGATTTGTTCTCTTTGATCTTCAATGAAAGCATGGAACCGGTCTATATTTCTGTTGTGGAAAACTCGAAGTTCGTAATTAATAACGATAAGTTACGATGTAATTGCATGAAAATATAATTATTATCATAGTAAATATACGAGTGTGTAGTTATAAGGAACTCTAATTCTTTTTACGTGTTTGACTTATAGTATGTAATTACATCTTAATTTTACGTCAATGTTCCATATACAAATTGTAATTACACAATTACATAAGTTTAAATTTTAAAATAATATAAATGAAACATGAATCAATTTACTTCAGTGGTGAAAGTAATTGTCTTTTTCGTTGAGGTCATAGGTTTGAACACTAAAAAACTGCAGCAATGTAATTGAGTGTTTTCGATGATCATTTTATAACTTTAAATAGTATTCGAATAACTTAAAACAAAATCCTATAGTCGATGATCATTTATATATTTTATCCTAAATTATAACAATAGATTAAAATTGTCATATTTGTATAATTACACCCCAATTTAATTACTAGATAACTTTTCTAATATGTCTTAATTTTTCTCTATTTTTGACGATTTTTCTTATTATTAATTTATGTTTTTTAAGCTACCAAAGGTCAATGAGTTGATTGAACTGAGAATTAAAGGTTCAAACGATTCAACATTAGATTCAATACTATTAATCAAGATATGTTAACCATATGCTTAGACCTGTTTGGTAATAACTTTTTTTTAAAATGATTTTTAAAAGTAATGTAGAAAAGAATTTGTAGAAGTATTTCTCAAAAATAAATTTTGAATTCAATTATTTAGAATTACTATTAAAAATTAAGTTTGAAAAGATAAAATATTTATTATAGATATTATGTTATAAATTAAAAATATAAATATAAATTATATTTATATTTATTAATACTATGATACATAAAATATATAACTTAAACTATAATAAAAATATATTTTATAATAATTCATTATTAATATTTAATATATAAATTATGAACTTTATTATTTTTCATTAATTAAAATAAATTATTCTTTTTGTTCCACTAAATTTGTCTAATATTGACTTTTTAAAAGAAAAAAAAAATTAAACTTTTGTCATGATCGTTTTAAATAATTAAATTTATAAAAATATATATTTAAAAGTTACTTGATTGAAAGTTTTTAAAATATTTTTATTAATAATAAATTTTAAACAATAGCAGGTCAAAGTTAAATAAAAAATTGATAGAAAAAACTCAACAATAGATGATTTTCATAAGACAGAGGGAGTATTAAGTAATAAATTATTTTTCTAATAATGTTAGTATTAAATTATTAAAATAAAATATAAATATATAATTGAGTGGAACGCATGTATTAATAAGGGTAAAATTATAATTTGCTTTCAAATACAAAGTTAAAAATAAAATAAAAAACTAAAAATCATAACTTTTGCTATCGGTTTAAAACTATCGTTTTCACCTCATATTTCTTTTTCATCTTTTTACCCGTTTGATATTAATTTTGAGGTCAAAACGATCTTTTTTTTTTACTAAAAATACTTTTAAAAAGTATTATTAAACTTGTGTGATTTTTTTAATATAATTCAAATTAGACAAATATTTTAAATTTCTCCCGAAATAGTATCATATATGATTTTTTTAAACGTGAAAATTTTATTAATTTTATGATTTCATTAGTTATCTTCACAACAAATTTATTATATCTTTTACAAACTAAATCTTCCATTAGTTATGCAACTTGAAAATTGTCGATATATTATATAAAAATCTGATCTAAATTGACCCGTCCACTAACGAAAACCATTTATATTATTAGAATTTTCCTACAAAGGTTAGTAGCGTTGAATTGGCCGGCAAAATGGGTTAGGTTCATTCGCTGAAAAGTCAAACAAATTTCCCATAAAACACCTAGGTTTAGCGATAGTTTACTTAGTACTATTGTTTTTGCAGAAATTTGCTCGGGGAACTGAACAATGGCCGCTACCGCCGGCAGCAGCCACAAAAACCCTGCTTTCGAAGCCGACGAGGACATCCCAAGTAACCCATCTCACGAGTTCGCTCAATTCGGAGCCGGGTGTTTCTGGGGAGTCGAGTTGGCGTTCCAGAGAGTCGAAGGCGTAGTCAAAACAGAGGTCGGCTACTCTCAGGGTCATACCCACGACCCGAATTACGAGTTGGTATGCACCGGTTCTACTAACCACGTCGAGGTGATTCGGATTCAGTTCGACCCTGAAATCTGCCCTTACACCACTCTCCTCTCCGTTTTCTGGAACCGCCACGATCCAACCACTCTCAATCGCCAGGTATGTCGACTCTTGATTATATTGCACACCAGGTATTTGTGGTTTTTCCTCAATAGGTACTTTACTACTTTTCGAACTTTTTTGTTAGGGTGGAGATGTGGGAGCACAGTATAGATCTGGGATTTACTACTACAACGAGAACCAGGCTCGTTTGGCAAGGGAGTCACTGGAGGCCAAGCAATCGGAGTTGGGAGATAAGAAAATCGTGACGGAGATTCTGCCGGCGAAAAGGTTTTATAGGGCCGAAGAGTACCATCAGCAATACTTGGAGAAAGGTGGACGCTTTGGAGCTAAACAATCTGCTACCAAAGGCTGCACTGATCCCATCAGATGCTATGGCTGAATCCATTTTCACCATATTTGTAATATCCGAAGTTTACATCTTTTAAGCTTCTTGTACGAGACTCTCGAATAAAAATAAGGTTTTAATTAAGTTAATATTTTCAAGTTTAATATTATACTAATATATAATCAAAATATTCAATACCAACAATTGGTTAATCTAATAGGATGAGACACTAAATCTCTAAGTAATATCAAGAGTTTGAATCGTGATATTTGTTAATAGAGAAACTCTTATAGAATAAGAATTTTTAATAATCACGTATTTTATTCTATATATGAATTACATTGGAGAGATATAATCATGATTTTGGATTAGATAACAAATTTTATTTTTTTAAATACCAAAATTATGATGCATGTAATATCATATATTAAATTTCCCGCCTCTTGTGTATGGCATATCTTATATTCATATTATTTTGGTTATTTTTCTGCTAAACATGTAAAAATAAGATATTCTTTCCAAACAAAACTCTTTTCTACAAATTATAATCTTTTTTCCTAAAATATCTACAAGTTCTAAGTGCTCATTGATTTATTTTACATAATGTCACTTTCATCTACCTCTTATATTTCTTTTTCTCTTGTGGGAGCCATGAGAAAATGAGAGTAAATAACGCGGACACAAAAGACAAAGGATGCAAGTAGTATTTCAATTGAGTAGGAAAGCTCACCAACGCCCATATGCAGTTCATAATAATAATTTCCTTCCAAAGAATGTGAGAATTTACAGTGATTGTCTTTATCCTCAACAGGTGAGTTACCTGTTAAGCTTCAGCATATGAAGATTTGGAATTCTCCAAAGTTGCCTTGTTTATCATCACCTACGGATTTGGAACCCATTGCAGATTCAGTTCACAATAACACTTGCCTAGAGCTCCTCTTTATGTATCTATTTTGAAAAAAAAAATATGTACTTACTTAGATGAAAAATTACTTTAAATACTTAGAAGAGAAAATAGTATGCTTTGGATATTTTTGATATAAGCCTTTAAAAAACTTTAAAGTACTATTATCTAGTGTATCCTCTTAAACAAATCAATATTACGAACCAAGTGGCTTCTGTGGTAAAGGAATTGTTGTTATTCCTAAGGACTCAGGTTCGAGCACCATAGATGTTAGGGGTGTGAGTGTTCAATGCGAAAGATTGAGAGTTATCTTTGAACAGATACTGCCTTGTACTTATCCTAGGTTAATAAAAAAAATTCTTCAATCAAATTTGATAATAAAATAAGCTGGCTTAATACCCCAAAAAATGATTAACCTATATGTTTTCTCATTTAGGTGTATAGAAATTTTTCCTATCAATTCAGGTGTCTAACATTATAAAATTATTATTTTAAGTGTTTCTATCGAAAATGACCATCAAAATATTTTGTTGTTAAGAGAGATATATCATATTTATATAATTTTAAAAATTTTAAATAAAATTCAAAAACTCAAAATTATAATTTTTAAAAAATCCTAAAACTTTTCTCAAATCTAAAAACCCTAAATATTTCTCAAATATATAAAAAACACAAAAAAAACTAAAAAAACCCTCAAACTTCAACCATTGTCACCACCGATGCTGTCGTTGATTCTCTGACCGTCATCATCGATGAGTAGTCACCCTAACCATCGTCGTCCACCAATGACCGACCGTCGATCCAATTCCTTAAATTTCTAAACTTAAATCCTTAGAATATCAAATATTTGAATACCATAATTTATAAAATCCCTTTGACCGACTGTTTGAACTTTGAAACAGTAACAACAGTGGTAGTCGATCGATCGTTTGATTCCCCATTCAACTTTAGCCGGTTCACGGTGAGCATTTGGGAGAGGTTTTACTGTAGGGGAGAAGAGGGCATGTGCGGGGAGGAGGTGACACATGTAGGGTGGAGAAATATCTTTCTTAAAAATTATTTTTTTAAAAATGTATAAATACGAAACGTGATATTTAACATAATTTTTAATTGCGGTTGCGATTGAAACACTTAAAATGATAACGTGCATATAAATTAATTGAAAGTTTAGACACTATTAGAATATTATAATGTTAATAAAGATTAGTTAGTATTTGTTATTAGTTAGGACTTAGTTTGTTATTAATTTGTTAGTAATTTGTTATGATTTGTTGCTTACTTGGGCTATATAAGCCATACCTTTGTATGAGGTTGAAGTAGAGTATTATTCAATATTCAATAGAAAATTTCTGTCATATATCTTTCTTTACATTTCCTCCTTCCACGTTTGTTAGTTCCATGGCTACATTCCCATATGGTATCATTCGCTAAAAGATCCTGGCGTCGTTTTTCTCTTCTACCGTTGCGCCGACGATTGAGTTCCTTTACTCTCACTCTTTTCTTTTCTTCCAAACAAGTCACTCAAAATCATTGTTCTTTTTCTTTTTTTCCTCTTTTTTCTCATGATCCAAACAACATTCTACCCTACCATTAAACACATCAATGTTAACAACAACAACAATGGCATCGGCCATAGCCATAAAAGCAAGCTCGCAAGAACCTTTCACAAAGTCATAAACCTAAAGTCCTCGACAAAATTCTCTTCAAACAATGGTATTGGAATCTACGTTTTCCCATCACAGAACAAATTCGAGTGTTACAATTCAAATCCAGATCAGAAAATCTCTTCCCGTGGAAATCCCAAGCAGAAAGCTATGTTGGAAGCTTTGGTTGCGAAGATTTTTGCTAGTTTTATAGCCATCAAAGCTGCTTATGAAGAACTTCAAATGGCGCAAAACCCGTACAACAATGGCGCTGTTCAGGCTGCTGATGAAGCCATTGTTGAATAACTGAGAACACTATCGGAGTTAAAGCGAAAGTTCTTGAAGATAGAGCTTGATCTTTCACCTCTAATCACTTTAATGCTTGCAGAAATTCAAGAACAACAGAGCTTGATGAAGACTTACGAGATCACAATCAAGAAACTGGAATCCGACGTTGAAGCAGAAGGTTCAGAGGTTGATTCACTCCATAAATAGTTCAAAGATCGCCTTTCAACAAGTCCCTGGAGAAGAAATTAAACGCTAGCGGATCGTTATTGATGTTCGATAATATCAATAAGATTTCAACGTTGAATCCGAGTCATTTTCTGCAAGTTTTGCATAAATCTTTGCGATCAGTTCGTAGTTTCGTGAAAATTGATGATCAATGAAATAGAGTTAGCGAATTGGGATCTCGATGCAGCGGCTAAAGCCATTGAACCGAGTGTTATTTTCGTTAAACAAATCACAGGTGCTTCGCGTTTGAATCTTTTGTGTAGAACAATGCTTGAAGGCTTCAATCTCCATGATTTTTGCCTCGGCAAAGAGCTTAAACCCAGAAAAACAGACCCAGGTAAGCATTTCAATGAATTCAAGGCCCTGAGATCAGCAAATTCAAAGTTGTTTTTAGCTCGAAATCCATATTCTTCTTTCAGGAAATTCATTAGGTCTAAGTATCTCAACCTTGTATAAGAGGATGAAGAAGAAAGAAATGAAGGTGAATAAGAAGAACGAAAGAAAGCATCGACACTTCCGATTCAAGTCGAACGGAAGGAAGCATCGACACTTCCAATTCAAGTCGAACGGAAGGAAGCATCGGCACTTCCGATTCAAGTCGAACGGAAGGAAGCATCGACACTTCCGATTCAAGTCGAACGGAAAGATGTATTGTACTTTCGTTTCAAGTGTTCGTTTTTTTTATCAAGAATATTGAAGAAGTGGGGAGAATATTAGAATGTTAATAAAGATTAGTTAGTTTTTGTTATTAGTTAGGACTTAGTTTGTTATTAGTTTGTTAGTAGTTTGTTATGATCTGTTTCTTACTTGGGCTATATAAGCCATACCTTTGTATGAGGTTGAAGTAGAGTATTATTCAATAGGAAATTTCTGTCATATATCTCTCTTTACATTTCCTCCTTCCACGTTTGTTAGTTCCCCTGCATTCTCACAGACACATAAATAAGAAAGGGTAAGTTACAAATTTGATAACTAAATTTTATCTTTTCTCTTGTTTCACTCATTGTACTATAAATCTTATCAATTTTCTCACTAAATTTAATACATTAGGTTTTTTGGTCAATCAGTCGTTACATAATTAACGACGTTAAAATAAGTTGTCATATAAATGAAAAACGACATCGTTTTAATGAAAATTTTATTTTTTAAAACAACTTGTTAATTTTGATTGGTTATTGGAACCATTACACCTTATTCTCACACATCGGATATAGTTTTATGTTAAGCGGATGACTAACTGACACGTGGACAATCACCCTATTTGGCATTTCTAGACTGAGTGGATTGAATCAGTGATTGGATTGCCACGCCAAACTGAGTTGGAATCTTTTGCTCACTAAAAGCCGCTTTTATTACGGGTAGTTCTGCTGTGCGGCGCTTAAAAAACGGTTAATATACGACGTGATCGGTTAAATAAGTGACCGGTTAAAATTTAGATCGGTTATGTTATATTATTTAACCGGAAATATTATCAAGTACAATAACATATTAGGTAGCGCTTATATAATGTAATAGGTAGCGCTGATATTGACCTATTTTATAAGTAAATCGGTATATTTATACCTGTAACATTGCAAATTTACCTATTACATTATAATTATCGGTTTTGATATCTTTTGGATCGATGTTTTTTATAAATGTATCGACACTATATGCGTTCACCTTTTGTCATTTATAGACCGATTTTATCATATTTTTACATGTTATATTATTATGGATCGATACATTTTTATAAAGTATCGACACTTTATTGGCGCTATAACTTCTTCTCTTATTAATTCCAAAAATGTCGATACTTATAATAAATTATCGACACTTTCAACATATCTGGTAGTGCTTTACCTATTTTGTCATTTCGAGACCGGTTTTATCATATTTTTACCTGTTATATTGTTATGGATCGATACATTTTTATAAAATATCGACACTTTATTGGCGCTATAACTTCTTCTCTTTTAAATTTCAAAAGTGTCGATACTTATAATAAATTATCGACACTTTCAACATAACTGGTAGCGCTTTACCAGTTTTGTCATTTCGAGATCGATTTTGTCATATTATTACCTGTTATATTGTTATGGATCGATACATTTTTATAAAGTAT